AACTGTCGTCTTTGGCGCCAAACATATATATATATACATATGTTGTGTTCTTTGTTTTGATATCCAATATATTATATATATATGCAGTTTTTGCTCCAAACATATATGTATCTATATCATATTTCCTTCCATGTCAAGAGTTTTGATATTCCAATATTTTGGAAACCTGCTGCCGTCTTTGGCTTCATACAAATATATATATATATATAGTAAAACCGACTACACCCAGCTGCAGTGCCTTCCAGAATGCCTGGACACCACAATGATGGAGACAATCCTTGTAGGTGAAAAGCTCGGAGGCTCTGTTCAAGCGACGGGTGCCGGCGACCCCCCAAAGCAGCGGCAGCGGCGCGTTCCAGCTCATCACGGACGACACGGAGAGCTCGTACGTGCGCCCCATGTTTGAGATCGTGTGGGCGCCGCTGCTGGCGTGCTGCAGCGTAATTTTCGAAACGAGTGACTCGGCCAGCGCCATTTCGCTCTGTGTCGACAGCTTCAAGCACGCAATTCACCTCACGTCAAGGTACGCTATTTGACCATACAATGATGACCATTCAACACGATTGCTGGCAATCGTGTCACTCGCTTAAACAATCAGAGCTTCCATTGACGATATATCCATATATATATATAGTACATGGTTTTCCTGTGTTTCGAGCACACAACTGATATATATAATATTAGACTCAACATGCCGTCGGAACGGGATGCATTTATTTCGATTTTGGCGAAATTCACGGGCCTCGCGACATCGTCGAGCCGAGAAATCCGCTGGAAACATGTCGAAGCAGTCAAGGCCGTCGTGTATGTTGCCGTGCACGAAGGCAACTACTTGGGCGACGCATGGGTACGATATATATATATATATATCAGCTATCTATAGTTAAAATATGCTGTCATATATATATATACAAGTGTACAGTTGTCTACTATGTCAACTATATATGTTTGTATAATGGCATCGAATGTGTGTCCAAATGTATGTATTCTATATATATGTATGTATTCACAATCTCATGCCAACGTTCACGACATGTGGTCGATAGGTTCGATATTTGTATATATATATATATATATATGTTGAAAGTGCGTTTCTATTTATCATGTTGACTCGATATATATATATATGTTGAAAGAGCGTTTCTATTTATCATGTTTCTTAAATATCGTCATGTACTGTACATGTGTGGTGGTGATATATACATACATAGCGCGACGTGCTGCAATGTTTGTCCCATCTGGCACGCCTGCAAAGCATCGCCCAAGGCGCCTTGTCAACCGACCAGCCGTTCGTGACCAAGCAAAGTACGCACGTCGTCGCATAGAATTTTTGACACTGTATCGCATACAACGAACTCTGTAGCGTCGACGCCAACCACGTCCAAGCGACTCGCGCGGGGGTCATCGTCCCCCATGTCACTCTCGTTTCCATCGTCTTCTACATCCAACGGAATCAACGGCGGAACCAGCGGCGATGGCGACCGATCGCTCGAAGAGGACAACGCCCACCGCGTGGCGGACGAGGTGGATCCGCTGCAAGTCGACCGCGTCTTCTCGAGCAGCGTGCACCTGACCAATGGCGCCATCCAGGACCTCGTGCTCCAGCTGTGCGTGGTGTCGCTAACCGAGTGCGCCGGCATCTCTGGCCGGGGGGTGACTGTGCGGGAGACGTCCAACGCGCCGCGGGTGTTTTCACTGCAAAAGCTCGTGGAAGTCGCCGACATGAACATGCACGTCCGGTCCCGCGTCGTGTGGGCCAGTGTGTGGAAAGGTATATATATATATATATTGTGCTTTCGAGTGAAATTTCATCGTGTTGTGGGGTTTCTCGTTGGAATTAAATTGATTTGATTGGCTACTTCAGATGAGCTCAGAATTATTAACCAATCAAAACCCATTTCTAAATGAAATTCAACAACCAATCAGATCGATTGTGGATCGGTTTGGTCATTCGATTGCACCCCCTCCCCAAATTTGTACTATCAAATCGACAATATATATATATATATCGAGTGAGAGAGAGAAAGTAATTTAGAATGACGGTGTATCGTAGATCCCTAAGAGTATCTCCAACGGTGTTTATATTTCTATTTCAATTCGAAGTTACGGATATAGAATAGAAACGCTTGCACTATCCGGAGGAGGGTGGTTTTTTGCTATTTCACGTGAAAATAGAAATTCTGTGGCAAGGAATTTCTAAAAAGTCCGGATAATGCCAAAATAGCAACCGTAAAAACGAAGTTTGACCTATGCTGCTTTAGCAATAGGTTAGAATTTACCGTTGGAGATGCTCTAAGAAGAATATTATTTTAAAAATATTTTTGTGTTGCTAAAAACATTGAATTCTATTGAAGAGAGGTGATTTTATTTTTTAAAACAAAATCTGATTTTGTAGCAAGAGTCTAGTGTATGGTTGAATGGTTGCTTGGCAGGGTCGAATCGTCTGCCTTTTGATATATATATATTTGTTGGAGGGGTAGTCCATTGAGTTTGACATGAAATGTGGAGAGTCGTTTGCATCACCTGCATATATATATATATATATATATATATATATTCATCACACGGACGACCCGAACAATATATATATGCCCGTGTGATGTCCCGTCGTGTTTTTTACACGGAGTTTGGTATATATATATATATATTAAACTTGGGTTTGTTAGTATTGACAAGACACTTTACGACGATCGGGTGCCACGACAATTTGGGCATTGCCATGTACGCGATCGATTCGCTCAAGCAGCTGAGCATGAAGTTTCTCGAAAAGGACGAACTTCGCGATTTTAATTTCCAGCGGCTCTTCCTTACGCCATTTGAAATTATCATGGCCAACGCCGTGGCCACCGAGATTCGCGAATTGGTACTCAGGTAATTGATTGGCACTCGACTGTAGTTCTGTGACAATGTGTTTGAAATGTATGGATTGAACGAGTTTTGTATATTTATACATATATATATATTGCACGTATATATACTTCCACAACTCATACATGATGTATGTATATATATATAATATATATATTGAACATATATATATATACTTCTACAACTCATGCATCATTCATATATATATTATATATAATCCTCTGGCGCGTTCTGCTTTGGAATTTTTTATGTATGTATTATAAAAGTATGTATGGCTAGACATTCGTATGATATATTTAGATTACATTCGTATGATATATTTAGATTTCATGATATTTAATGTGGTGGTATAGTTGTGTGCAAAACATGATCCTTGGCCGGGTGCGCAATATCAAGTCGGGATGGAAAACCATCTGGGGCGTGTTGCGTGTGGCGGCTGAAACGTACGATCCTGCGGACGGCGACGCCGCACGCCCTGTCGTGGCCATGGGCTTTAGCATCGCGCAGATGATTCTGACCACCCATTTCGATCGAGTGGTATGTCAAACGACATGGTTTATAATTGGCTATATATATATATTCATTTGAAATTGTCGATCTGGTTGCATTGAAACATATATATTGTCCTTTCAACGAAAATGTAGACTTTTTGTGTGGATTGATTTGCCAACTCCATGGATCGATCGATGAGTTATTTGGTACTTACTGCATGGTGTTGCATATATCAACAATATTCCCAGTGACGAAGTAGAATAAATACACGAAAATTAGCCACATATATAACAGTAGTGGTGGATTGGTGGATGATTTCCTGCAATCTCATTGGCCAACACATTCTCCTGCCGATTCTTGTGCCTATCTTGGTAATATCGATCGATGTACATCCATTCGACACGTCGCTCGAGTGTTTCGAAGAAACAAATATATTTTATATATATATATATATTATTCATTGTGAAATATACTACTGATGATACTCCATTATGAACGAATAATACATTCACATACGATCCAGGAAGAAACTCCTGGACCACGTTATCGTACATACGTCTAATGTTTTATCCGAATAAACAACGGATATCAATAATATCTATCATATTATTGGTGGTTCCCACAATATACTAATTATTTTCATCTCATTTTATGTAGGTATCCGTGTTTGTCGACGCGATCGAGTGCTTGCTTGCATTTGCCGTGTGCGGCTGCGACGACCCCACCGACGCATTCATGCTAAAGATGGCGCACGATTCTATCAACGTGCTCGCCGTGTGCCTCACCCAACTGGCTACGGGCCACGTCATCGAACAAGTAATATCATACTATACTTTCTAATGTCATAAACGAATTGATGGGATTATGCATCCAGAGATTCCTTTTGAAGGGGATGTTTTTCTTGCCTTGTATATATATATATATAGGACTCATTTGATTGGTGGATATGTGTAGGTCCTAACAGACTCGCCAGCAAAGCGCACAACGTTCCGGTCGCATCTGGCGCTGCGGCGGTTGCGGCAAGAGGACGTCCTCGGCCATCGGTACCAAAAGGAAGAGTCGGCGGATGACTTGATCTCGGATGCGCCCATCTCCCCTCGAGTGACCCCCATCACAGCCATTTACACTGACTCGCAACTGCACACTAGGCTCTGGTATATATATATATATATATATATCATATATATTAAATTTATATATAATATATAATATAATATATACCCCGAAACCCCGAAACCAGAGGAGCAGATCAACCCAAGTGATTTTGCTTTGAATTTTTGAATTCTATTTTGTTGTCTTTTTTTATGCTTTCCAACTCGCGACGTATTTGTTGCGGCACTACTACCACAAGACGAGTAATGCATGCAAGTCACAAACCATCACGTTTTGAAACGCTTATTCTTATGCACGTGGGTTTCCAGTATATTTCAATATATTTCATATATATATATATGAAATATAGTCGCGCCTTGTGTTGATGTACAATCACGATTTCGGATATGCATGTCCTATGTAAAGTCCGTTCTGGAGTTGCGCATATATATATAATATTGTATTTTAATAGGTGGCCAGTGCTCACGGCGTTGGCAACGCTGGGCTGTGACAAGCGGCCCGAAGTGCGCCAAGTGAGCTTGGACACACTATTTGCGTCGCTGTATCTGCATGGCCCGAAGCTGTCTCCTGGGCTGTGGAACATCGTGTTTAAAGGCGTGCTGATTCCGCTGATCAGCGACCTGCGGCAGCTGGAAACCGCCGCCGCCTCCGTCGACGTCGGCCCCGTCAAGTGCTGCCGCGTGGCCCTGTGCCAGGTGGTGGGCATATTTGGGCAATTCTACGACGCGATTGGGTTTCTCCCAGAATTGCTCTTTTGTCTCGGCGCGTGCATGACGACCGAGTCCAATTCAGGTAAGTCACGGGTTTGATATATATATATATATATATTGCCGGGAGAATAGAGAAATCGAAAGAGTTTGGTTCTATTTTTCTCATTTCTGAATACAATAGTATATACATGTGTTCAAACAAATGAGGCCCTTTGAACTCTTTGAGTATATGTATGTATGCTATGTGTATTGATTGGTCTGCTCTGGTCTTATGTGTGTATTGATTGGTCGGCTCTGGTCTTATGCTTGTATATTTCAAGCACGTGGCACCAACATACATATATATATATATATTAGGCTTGGCGTGTGCGGCTGCGACGACGTTGGAGAACCTCCTCGTAAGCCACGGCTTGAAATTCCCCGAAAACGTATGGGGGCTCATTGCCGACGAGGTCCGCCACGTCGTGTCGCAGATCCAGCCCACGTGGCTCTTATCCGGCGCTCCCACCTCGTCGACGAGCGATGACGTGGCGCCGTCAGAGGAGCTGTTGTCCCCCATGGCCCAGTTCCGGTCGGCCAACTTTGACCCGCCCGGGCCGCCGTCGGTCATCTCCATGTACCCGTCCGTGATGCAATGCCTCCAGTTTGACTTGAACGCGGTACCTCGCAACCATTTGACCGCCACCACCGACGTTATCCGGCCGACGTCCGGATACCCGTCCACGACGCACTTGCTCGTGCTGCTCACGTTGCAGTCGTTGCTGGGCAACGTGCTCACGGCGCGCCTCAAGGGTCCATTGGCGTTGTCTCCAGGTAAAATCAACCCGCCAACCTCTTATTCAATAGATAGATTGGCCTTGTGTTTTTTGCTATCGATAGGTGTACATACAGTCTGTAGCTCTATTTGGTGTGTATACATACCATGATCATCATATCCATGGATCTGTTACAGTGTCACACTAATTGTCGTCCTTCATACACCAATTACATGTTGAAATACACGTTCCCTGTATGTATTTGATATGTCGATGCACATTTGGTCATATGTTTCTTTTCTACAGAAGCATCTATCTGCTGTACCCTCTAAAGGAAGTGTTATCTGCACAATACAGTAGTAGTACCAGTGAGTACCTACCTACCTATGTATTGGCCACGGTTCGATTTCACGCTGCATATGATTGTGTGGAGGGTAGTTCATGACGACATGGTATTGTCAAAGAGATTGGATGCAAGAACCGCCTCCTAAACCAATCAAATTACGTCGTTCTGCCATATTTCTGCCAATCCAAACCGTTTGACCACCCTACCGCATTGGGAAACACCACATATTGTATATACTAATCGTTGTATAGTTTGTTCAAGCTTAAATATGAGATCAAATAGATTCGAATGCTATTTGGTGAAATGACAAGTCTATTTTTGGGTGAAATGCACAATAGGCCACGCGGCGTCGCTGTTGGGGGCGCTCAAGGAAAGCTATGCGTTTTGCCGCCAAGTGAACGACCGACTGGACGTCCGCACCACATGCACGCGGGCGGGGTGGATGTACCCGCTCGACAAACCCGCGGCGATGTCTAGCAGCATGCTCCCGCAGGAACTCAACGGCAAATGGGAGTACCTCCGTGTGTTATTTGCGATGGTAAACAAGCATGTGGCCGTGGCCGATTCACGCCACCAGTTGACAGAGTACGATACAAATCACAATCCACACATACAAAGTACTAGTCCACTCTGCAAACGGATATTTATATATATATATATATATATACTAGTATATATTTTTTAAAAAGTGATTTGGACTGATGTATTATATATATGTATATATCGTTTTCTTTGGAATGGATGGGTTCTTGTATATATATATATATACAGTATATGCATTCGATGTGAATATTTGTAGACTCGTGACGCGCACAATTGGCGAATATCTTTTGTGGAGCCGCGCACATAGCTCGCTGAACCTGACGACGGTCACGACGCCCATCTCCCCGGACGAACAATTCAGATCCAAGAGCTACGTGCCGGTGATCGTGGATATTTTAAAGGAGCTCACGGCGATGCCCCCGGCAGAGGTACTGTAAAAAGTCTGACGTTTGTGATTGGTTGATTGATTGGGATGGTTGGATGGTTGTAGTTGAAAGTGCACTTGTCGTGGCTGTATCCGTTGGTCGTGGACCTGGTGCGCTCCAATGAAAGCGCCATCCGCAATGCCGTGCACCATTTGCTCTCGTCCACAGTGTCGCAGCTGCTGTTGGCCTAGACGGCTGGACAATAACATAATACTGGGTTTTGTGTCTTTAAAACAAGCGTAGCACATTGACTACTAGTAGTATTACTAGTACTACGTTGTACTGGGAGTAACGCTCCCACTACCTTCTAGTAGTATAAAAGTAGTACGCAGTAGTACTACCAAGCACGAAACAATGAATCCGATATAGTTATTGTCTAATCAATTCGAAACTGGAGCCCAATCGAATGTCTTAAGAGAATGGATTCAAGAACCGCCCAAGCCAATCAAATGACGTATATACTAACCTTTGTATACTATAGTTTGTTCAAGCTTAAATGAGGTCAAATGCTATTTGGTGAAATGTCTCGCAAGTCCAAATTTGGGTGAAATGCACAATAGCGAGCATCATGTGCTCGACTTACTGGTAACGTAGATGGCCAGTTTATGGTGCACGGGACAGTTTAAGGTGCACTCAAATTGGCCAATGGAATTGCTTGATTTTTGGAGTAGCCAATCGAATCACTAGAAAAATGAAATCACTAAAAAATACTTACAGTTAAGTAAGCAAAAACAGCATACATATTTTAAGCTTAAACCGTGCACCATAAACCGTCCCTCCTATTTTGCCTTGACTTGAGTGGAATCGAAGTAAATGAACGCTAAGCGGAAGTCTATTCAAGCCGGTTAAATAATCAGAAGAATGCCCAACCTTTCGGCTTCATGCGGCACTTTTCAGAATTGAAATCCCGGTCCTGGGAGACGAGTAAGCTGCATTCTACGACGAAGTCTCTTTCAAGTGCACCATAAACTGGCCATCTACGTTAAGGTCAAAGTTGGTACTTACTCAACCATCCTGGTACTGTTCAAATCCCAGGCGTGGAGGATTGGTTGAGTTGGATCCAATCAGCCAATCAGAGGTTGCCGTGGAAATCCTGAACCGTCGCCCAGTCGTAACTGGTGCTGTAACTACTACTACGGTATACTACCTGGTCTTGTGCGACTGATCTCGGCCAAAGAGCATGCGCAGAGGCGGCAACAATGCCGATGAAAAGGTGCACCCAGAAGACGTCAAAGCCCCGTCGACCTCGCGCGCCGCGTCGCCCGTCGTGCTTTCGTCGCTTCCAAGCCCTCCCCTTGAGCCTTCCACCGCCTTTGAGCGCCCATATGGCAGTGGTCGCGAAGTGGTGTGCTACGTGCTGTTCTTGGTCGCGTTTGTGATTGTGACAGTGTACAACCAAGGCACGATGTCGACGTTCTACTACACCGACACAATCCGCCGGGCTATCGTCGAAACGCCATTCTCGTCGTCAGTGGGTTCCCTCGCCCAAGTGCAAACTGCACTTCCACTAGCCAACAACAACAACAACGCAGTGCCCCCTGCTGCCCAATCTCCCCCCCTCACATTTGACACGATGCAGACGATCCCGGACGTGTGGGACTGGCTGCAAGGTCCGTTGGTCGCGACACTTTACCCGTCGTCTCCACCGTCCGGGGGCGTGGCCCTGACCAACGCGAGGATGGGGGGCCTTCGACTGCGCCAAGTGCGCGTGCAGCCCAACTCGTGCCAGGTGCAAGACGAGTACGTCAACTTGATCTCGTACTGTTTTGGGCCCTTGTCAGCCGCCACTGAAAGCAGTCGGGGCTTTGGGCCGGTCCAGAACTCGCTCAACGTGTCGCATGTGTCGGCGGGGGTGTTTGCCAAGTCATTTTTTGGGCCATCCCCTACGTACAACGACCTCATGCAGTGCATTCAGTCATGCGCGGTGTCGGTGGGGTCGCTCTACGGGTTGGATAAGGCCCAGTACGCTGCCGAATACACCAACGAGTGTTCCCTTAGCTGCACTTGCTTTTACTCGGACAGCGGCAACGCCAACTGCAAAGTCGCTTCCGCCACGGCGCCCCCCTCGCTGCAATACATGTACACGTGGACAGAAGCTGTGGCCGACACCATCGACGGGCTGCTCGGTCCGATCCCAGGTTCGGGGTACGTTGTCGATTTGCCTACCAACGGCACCAACGCCCAAAACATCCTGCAAACGCTGCGGGCCAATCATTTCTTGGACGTGGCGACCCGCGCCGTCGTCATCGAGTTTGCCGTGTTCAATCCGTACTTGCAGCTGTTTGACATGGTCACGGGCGTCGTCGAGTTTCCCCCCACGGGGGGCACCGTCGCCACCATGCGATCGTCCGTCCTCAATGTGTACGGGTATGGCCCTTCCACCGGTGCCAAAGTATTTTTCGAGGTCGCCCTCGCGCTCGCCGTGACGTGTTATGCCGGCGAAATCCTCGTCCAAGTGTACCGCCGGCCCGTGATGGAGTACTTGTCGTCCTCTGGGTGGACTCAATTGCATGGGGTCAACATTGCCCTGTTTATCACGGTGATCACGCTGCGTCTTGTGGCTATTAACGCCGTTTATGGCAACAATAATACAGCCACTATCAACTTGAACACGGCTGCCCCCACCGATTTGTTTCGGTACTTGACGTCGTTGGCCAAGATGAAGGACCTCGAACGCTCGATCAATGCCGTGAATGCGACACTCATGTGGCTCGGATTACTCAAATATACCCAAGTACGTGGTACAACACAATTTCAATCCCCCCTTCATATTGTTTCCCATTGAACGGATTGTGGGCTAGATATCTCGGCGAATGTACGTATTGGTGCAAGTCCTTAGCCAAGCCATGGCCGACCTACTTAGCTGCGTCGTGCTGTTTTTCATCTGCCTTGTCGGGTATGCCCAGGTACATTAACGATCCCCCCATGAGAGTTTGATTGTGTCTTCTACGCGTTCGACTCATGTTCGCCCCATATTAAAGGCTGGTTTTCTCGCGTTTTCTACCACAGCGCCGTCGTTCCGAACGTTTGGGCAGTCGGTGGTCTCGGTGCTGGAAGCACTGACGTTCCGCCTCGACTATGCCGAGCTCGTCCACGCAAACGCGGCGATCGCGCCCGTGTACTTTGTGTCGTTTTACATTGTTCTCGTGCTGGTGGTCGTGAATATCTTTGTGGCGATCCTCCAAGATGCGTTTACGACAGTGCACAAACAGCAGACGGCGCTGAAGACCAAGCAACCGGCGGTTCGGTTCCCGTTTGCGACTGGCGTGTGGCCCACCGTCGTGTTTTACATCAAGCGGCAATGGGTGGCGGTCAAGTACGGCGCGGGGGCCGCCGCCAAGCTGGCGATGCCCTCCGACACCAAGGGGGGAGCAGGGGACGACGCCGACTTTGGGAGCGCGGGGGGCGCCCTGCACCCGTACATGGCGATGGAAATGCAAGCTCTCAGTGAAAAGTTGACGACCATGATGCGTGCCCACGACGAAAAGAGAGGCAAGCTCGACAAAATCGAGGTAATGCTGCGGTCCATTGAAGACACGTGCGTCGAGCTCAAGACTGAGAAAGACAAGCTCGCCACGTCGTTGTAGTGCAAGCAGTTGAAGCGTTGAAACTTGGCTGCTGTGCTCTGAACATGCATACTAATTAGTACTTCGAGATCGACAGTAGTTAACTGAGTAATGTGAAATGGCGGCCAAGGCTTACTCGTCGTACACCATTTCTCAATTCAAATCAAGACGTTATATCCACTAAGTTAAAATCGTTTGTATCCTATGTATAAAGCGCCGTTGGTTTAGTGGTAAAATATCCGCCTCCCACGCGGATGCCCCGGGTTCGATTCCCGGACGGCGCACTATTTTTCCTATTATTTTTGCCCAGTATTCGACAGTCTCGAGGGGGCATTTGGAAATATTGTGCTTTGCACTTGTTTTGGCGTCGGTTTTACGTGGCTAAAGGAGTTCTGCTGTAACTGTGTTACAAGGTTGAATAAATACCTCGTTTTAGCTAATTCATTGGGGTTTTATAAATGCCAAATAACTCTGAGCAATAATAATCACATGTAATGCAGAAGTGACCAAAACACCTTGGCTGTTATTCCATCGGGTAGTGCATGCTACCTGCATTTACTTACAAGAAGATGGCGCGGCGTGGTTTTCTACGATGTACATGCTACCTGCATTTACTCACAAGAAGATGGCGCTTGTCTTCGCTGTGTGTCATTTGTAATGTCAAAAGTTGTTCATGATGACCAGTGAATTGTGCAATTTGGTCCCGAGAATAGCAGATATAACTTCGATTTGCACTTTTTTCAAATGTGCAAAAGCGAGGGAGTTGCATAAATGACTCCCTATAATTACATTCTGTAACGAAATGTGATCCTAAATCACGGTACGGATTATCTAAAACACTGGGGTCGGTGTAACAAACACCCAGGTTTATGGTGTGGATAACCAAAACGAGTGAAAAGCACAATAATTATTGCTACATTAACGTGACGGTACAAGAGGTAATAACATGACCGACTCTTGATGGGCCGAATGATCATTGATGATCTGACTTTTTCATCCAACCAAAACCTCAATCCGTTTTCATTGGCCAAAATAGCACTTATACCTATATGAATGCATGAAAGGTTTCTCAATACTCGTGTTTAAAACTACTATATATGAAACCTGTTCAATTCCATAACCCTCTATAAATATGGTAATTGTACGCTGTCGAAAGCGGTTCAACCAACCCTACGGTTTCACTGTCAATACCTAACTCAAGTATAAAAGTCAACCCATCAATGGTCGCCTGTGAAAAGCCCCAACTTCAAATTCATTGACTTATTTATGGAATTCGTAGGGAGATTGCCTACGATTTCATATTTGACCAATGAAAACACTCCTGTACAATGATTGGATAATTCAATCACAAATCCATAGCTCATCACGAAACACCATTATTGACGATAGTCCTTGGCAATGCAGGCTGCATAACCATAACGTTAGCTATGTACTACGGTAGTATTTTCGACATCAATGTTGACTGTAAGCACCCATGCCGTCAACACGACCTTGCCCGCTAGAAAGACATCAGCTATCGTCGAACGACTCCAATGTGCCTCTGCATGGAGTAATCCAACGCCATGCTAGTAGCACAGTAATACGTCAAGGTCCTCAAAGGTAAACATCCAATCATGTGATATTAACGATACTCCTGACTCGTGCTGGAGTTTGTTCGTGCCAAGCACTTGACTCACTCGCGCGTCGTTGCTTGTGACGTCATGGAACTGCTTTGCGAGCACGGTCACTTGGATGTCGACGAGGACAGCCCTACCGACCAACGTGCTGCACTACGAGCGACACAAAGTTCTTAAAACGCCGTGGATTCAAGCGCGGGAAGAAGAAAGGAGTATATGTTGGTCTAAATAATGAAGTGGTTCTAAAGCGGGATGCCTACGTGAAGCTTGTTGTCCATGCGTTGCGAGAAGACACGCCATGTACGATAATTATCTGGACGAGTCGTTTATCCATAACAATTACAAGCTACAACACGACAGCCTCTATCACCCAGACGATGCTACATGCATCCCACCAAAAGAAAGGCACAAAGGCGAAAGACTCTGCTTTGTGGCGGCAATTATCGCGAGCGGTCCAACGACGGGTAAGTTTCTCGGGTTTCAGATCTTTACCGGTGGCACAAGACAGCCCAAGGATTACCACGCGATGTTCACCCACGACTTCTTTGTTGACTGGTTTGCCGACCTACTCGACGAAATAGAGTCAATGAACTTGCATGGCGTGATCTTTGCAATGGACAATGCAAAGTGCCATAAGGGCTTACCTGACGGCACCCCAAAAGCCACGTGGAAGAAGCCTCAACTGTTGGACACCTGTCGACGGCTCGGTGTTGATGGGGCGGTTGCGGCGTGAAGACCAATTGTGTGGGCAGCTCTAAAACCTACGTCGACAGGAACATTGAGCCAGACGTCGTGCAGATGGCTCGTGAGCATGGCCATATTGTTGCCTCGACGCCGCCGTACCATTCGGATTTGCAGCCCATCGAGATGGTGTGGGCTTGGGTTAAGGGCCGCGTCGTACGACAGTATTCCACGTCTACGACACTGGCCAACGTACGCCTGCGCCTTGACGCCGCCTTTGATGCGCTGCCGAGCTTGGTGATCTACAACTGCATTCGGCACACCGATACTAAGGTAACAGCAATGTACGAGTACCTCGAAGCACTCGACATGGCTGACGATGATGCTGGACAGGCGTCATCCTCATCAGCGATATCGGAAAGTATTGGCAATGACAACATGACAAATGTCCACACTGATGATTACGATACCGCAGAGTATTTTGTCTGTGATAACGTTAATAGATATTTTTTGTCATTGATTTGCAAGGGTTTTTGAGCTGGCTTCACCTTCCGGATTTGATACATTTACCAAATAGAAAAAAGCGTCCTCGATAGCCTCGCGACTGTGAAGTAGTGCAATTGCGTGCACTTTAATTGGAGAAAGGTAGATAGGCCACTGTGAACAACTTGGCCCATTAATGTAGTTCAATAGTTGCTTCATAACAGAGATACAATTACGGGTCTTGTGTGCTTATGGCCCACACAAGAATTTCCACAAAGTCTTGATTCGCAAACGCGCACAGCTCGACTTTCAACAGTTCACTTTAACTCTATCATAACGATTGCGCCTTCCTACTACGTACTACACCAATAACAGTGAATATTTTGACCCTCCTCGACCCATCCCACCCATACATGCGATAGTCCATATATGAAATAAACTATGGTACCAGATTTGCACCACATTGATTGGAACAAAAACCACATTGATCCGAACTTTTGTGCTTTCCAACCCTTGTCAAACCACATTGATCGGAAAAAAAGTCCAACTTCATCGGGTAATGGTGTAGTACAACGCAGCACGACTTGCGTACTGCTACATACATAATACTATCAATGGCATTACCACTAGGACGCCTCACATTCACCATTGGTATGTGACCTGTACGATAGAGGAGGATTGGTCAATTGGAGTCGGGCAATTTGTGATTTTCCTGAGATCTCATTGGATATGAAAATCGTAGGGCCAGCTCCCTACGATTTCGTCAAATCACAAATGGATTGCGAAATTTTATGTTTGCTACAAATTTGTATATAACTTGGAAAAAAATTGTGGTGGAGGATTTCAAAACCGCGAAATCGTAGGTGTGCGCCTATGATTGCATACAATAGTCACGTTCTGGCCTACGAATTCCGTAGAATGAAACTCAGGCAAAGCTCGACCCATCCATGGTCGGTGACGTTATGAGTATTGTAGGTCACAGTCGGTGAGCATTTACATCTAAGGTAGGAAATACATCAATTGTTGACACTATTTTGGTCGAATTTTGGCACACCGAAGTTGTATTGTTAAACACCTCATCACACAAAATAGATACTGCTAAATGATTGGTTAACGTTTGCTTTTGCGGGAAAACAATGAACATTCGCACGATGTGGCTGTGTGGCAATGGATGTGGTGTCATTCACGTTTGACGATTGCACCAGCTCACACCAACAACATCAGGCCCATGGCGAAGTCAAGATGACACTACACCCAAGCAACGAAACGCCAAATGGTGACCAACCATCGATGGGCCGAATAACCACTCGCTACCATGACAGTAAATGTAGACAGACGTAAAAACAGGCATTTGATGTACGCAAAAACGTAACGCCAAATGGTCACACAGCTGCAGCTGGAACAACTCGCAGCCTAAAAGCCGAAACTCATGAGCAACCTCTTACGATGGCTCTGATACGCGGTGGCACTGCTGCACTTCGACAGCAACAAGAAACGTTTCAACCTTCAGAGAGCCGGGTGAAGAGAATATATCCACGGCTCAGCAGCTCCACTAAGAAACGCACTCGCTACAATTACAGTAAATGTAAACAGTCGTACCAAGAGGCGTTTGATGTCGGAGACGGTGGAGCAATCCACACCACGGACTGCCACACGGTAGGTTGTGATGGGCTTTGTATAACCCCATTTATCGACGTGCCACTTCGCAATGTCTGGGATGGAGTGAAGGTCGTCGAAGAAATTGGGAGTAACCCAATCTGCCAGAGTGAGCGTCGGCTCACGCTCTTTACGCTTCGTCGTTCGTTTGGGTAGTGTATTCCTCTACCTCCATGAGAGTGGGGTCCTCAAAGGGATTGGGACGCTGCCCATCTGGTGTAGTGGTTGGTTCGGCAGGGGGCGGGATTGGTTTCCCTCCCCATGTCCGCATCTGTGTCCACCGTGTCCTCATCCTGGTGGTATTGGCTTGCGGGTCCCCCGTTTCTCGTGCGTGTTCGTTTGGATGAACTGGTCTGCTCATGCGCAGCACGTGCAGTGGCGAACATGCTATCAAGGTCCAGGCAGTGGTGTGAACGCCCTCCTCTTTTAGGTACCCGGGACGGCGTGTAGAGTTTAGCATATACCGCATATGTCACTCCTTGGAACCGTAATTGGTCCACAGGGTGGTTGTTGATGATGAGGTTCGTCGGTATGTCTTCAGTGCAAAAGTAGATTCGCCAAGCATTCGTGTGGCACGACGTGCCTGCAATCGTCGATCTGAATCCCTGAAACAGAGGCAGCGTCTTAAGGCGACGAAGTGTTTTCATCAGCTCGACAGAGTCAAAATTGTATCGGATGTTGGTGATGTCCACGTAGAACCGGATATCGAGGCCCCTGCTCGCCCCACCTGCTCCAGTAGGGGGGGTAATCACTGAATACGATGTGTCCAGGATACGCATAGGCTGCCCAATCATGGCCAACTTGGTGGCTTCTTCCGCCACCGTAACCACCAAATCACCCCCACGGGGCTGTTTGACCATGACAAAGTTGTCCAGGTGACAGGCCCAATCAGCGTCTTGATTGGCCTCGAAAATAGCTGCGATTATCTGGTCATACTTGAAAGAGGCCAGAGATGTACCAGTTTCGACCCAGAAGGTGGCCGTACCCACCTTTTGCTTGTACGGTGTGGCCTCCGCAATGGCACGCAGAAGTGAGTCATCGTCACAGGTTTCATCCTGGGCGAGAGCCAGGAGTTTCTGCACCATGGTGTTTGACTGCCGAGTGAGGACGTCCTTGAATTTAGATGATTTCGTACGCCCTGTAGCCCCCGCGACCGTAGAAGCATAGCTTGGACGAGCACTACTAGTTCCTATAGGACTACTACTGGAGTAGTACTACTAGGAGGGGCTTTGATGGTGTGTCGACCATCACCTGACAGAGGAGGAAACTGCCCAGCATTGTCAAGGTCAATCGTCACGCGGAAGTGACCAAGGTTGGAAGATGCGTTCAATAGTTGAGCATTCTGCCCGCTGATTGGTTCGTGGGGGGAACGACCGAATTTCCGTCCTGTGCATCCAATGGCAATGGACCAGAGTGTGTCGCGCACGGCGGCGACGGCGCAGAGCCCGACGGGTCCTGGGAGGTAAACAGGCCAGCAGGCTTGCTCCCCTCGTTGTCACGGCCAACCAGTCCAGGACACAGAGGCATATTCCCGTCAGGACCTCGACCAGGACCCTCTCAATCGAGGCTGTCATGCGACACGTCCAGCAGCACCGGAGGCGAGACAAGCGGCGCACAAGCAGTTGGGCCAGCGAGGCTCGAGGCATGCGATGGAGGAACCCGCTCTGTGGCTGGAAGAAGAAAGGCGAGGCGGCCAGGGTTACTGACAGTGGCCTTATGAGGGTCGGTGGTGGTGGTGATGTTCATTCTCCAAAAATAAGCAAAAGGGGTACTTGGACTTGTGCGGGGTAGACAGCAAAATGCGAAGTGCGCCGTTGGTTTATGGTAATCGGGGTGTATTTGACCTTTAACCCCTAGACTAAACCTTTTGCTAAATAATATGAACTAAATACTGTGACCAGGGTGGCCACGACAAGAATGTTGGTCATAGTGTGGCATCAAAACTCATGGTACCGTCCAGTGGCAGCGGGGGCCACACTAGAGGGTACTG